ATCTTCACGTTACACTTATCATTGCTTGAGGGTAGCAGTGCGCTGTGTTTGAAGATGACACAATGTCTTTTTCAATTTTTAACTTTTTTCTTTAGTTTCCTTAGTTGCCGCAGGTGTTTATACTTGGGGCAATTAAGTGCGGTACTTCTTACTTTTCATAGAAATAAACTTATCCTGGCTGGATGTATATCACTTCCTTCCTTTATGAGTCTAATTTATGCTGAGTCAAGCATTATGTCAATCACTTTTATTTTTTATCCTTAAAGTCAGTTTTATTTTTCTTTTACAAGTAAATTTTTTTCTGTTTTTTTTTTCTTTTCTTTTAAATGTTAGTAAAGTGCTAGGCTGTTTTATTTCAATTGTTATTAACTTATAAATTTGTTGTTACTTTTAAAAAATAAATTACTTTTGAAATTTTAAAAGTAAAAGAAAACAAATGAAATTTTAAGCTAAGATATCACTTTATAAATATAATTAAATGAATCACTTAAAAGTTCTCATTTAATCAAATATACATATGGGAATACACATTTTTATTTATTATGTATATAAATTGTGTTCATTCTCTCTTCTTACAGAGAACAGAGTGCAATATGCATGGATGTGATATAAATTTCTTAAAATTTAAACAATCAATTTGCAATTAATTGATAAAAGATTTTAGCTCGTATCACATAAAATTTTTATACAACCACATATATATTTTTTTGAGAAAAACTCAACAAAGAAAAAAGGAGTATTTCTACAAAAGAAAAGCGAAATCAATATCCTCGTTTATTTAATATTCGAGGATTATTTGACTTCTGAATTATAATAGAAACAGTTTTATAAATTTTGATTTAATGCTTTGTATATAGTTATCCATTTTCTGATTTTGAAAGTAAACTTGTTTAAATTATTATATCGATTGAACCTTGCCATTATATTGGATTCACACGAGAGTTTTGTTTGTAATTTTAGCTGTCATGTTTGTAATTTTAGCTGTCAATTGTTGTTGCTTTCCAAGCAAAATGAAAATTTTTGACAGCTAAAATTACAAACAAAACTCTCGTGTGAATCCAGTATTAGGATGAAAAACAACATTATTCAAATATTCTCAAATTTTACAATACTCAATAATTTTGAGGTTATTTTTGTAGGCAGAAAGTTAACATAAACGCAGTCATAAGTGTGGAAAGTTTAAAAACTGTTTCCATAAACATTATCTTTTGTATAACCACACAAGTCGTATGATCACTAAAATATGGTAATACACATCTAGGAAAATTTCTAGAACAGCAAAGAAAAAACAGAAAACATTATATGGTTTGTATTACCCATTAAAACCACATCTTTGTCACATCTATATCATCCATTTCAGAACATAGTCCACATCATGTTCGCATGACTGAAGATTTCTTTACAATACTGAGTCCCTAAATTATTGTCCAGGTACCAGGTAAATTGGACCTTCACTTCTCAATGCTTTTCGCTACATTTTCACTCTGGTTTCAGCTTTTAAATGAGTTAATAATACGAAATTATTCTGAGAAGAAATAGTGAGTCAAGTCTAAAATTGACAGAAATTGATTGAAATAATTGGGAATATATATGTTAATAAAACTCTTTTTGAAATAAAAGCATTATATAATTTTTGCCCAAAAACTTATTTTTTGCTCGATCGAATATATGTATATAGAATAGGCATAATCAGAAGATATTAAAAATATTACAAAGACGCTACCACACATAAGAATAATTAAATTTCTATATTTTTTATTCTAATTTATATTTAATAACATGGCTTTTGTTGTGATATTAAATATTTAATTTAATATTAATTTATAAAAATTAATTAAATTTAAAATATTTGTACGTTTTTATTTTGAATTAAAAGTTAATTGATTTTTTATTGCATTTTTGCTCGTGTGTGCAATTTTTATGCTTGTGATTATCAAATGTGATTAAGCTGAAGTAAATGCACTGTGCCAATGTACATAAGTGTGAAAAATTAAATTTTCATGTGAGTTAAATAATTAAATAGGAGAAGGACAATTGGTTTTAAAATCCGTTAGTTGAAATAACTGGCATATCGGCACGCCTCAATTGACTGCCAGCTAAATTGGTGGTGCTTGGGACATATGTATTTCAGTGTTCGAAATATTCAAGCGTTTTAATTGGAAATCTGCCTCTTAATGAATCCGCCATGAAATAAAAAACAGATTTAAGTACACTTACGGGATTTCAAGTCCCAGTTGGATGTTACATATACAAGTTTAAAATTAAAATTTTTTATATATTTTTAATAATTTATTGCTTACTACCGCGTAAAGTAAATATGAAAAAAAATTAAATTATTATACAATTTTACATTAAATAGGTTGTAACTTTTAAAGCTTAATACCAGAAGCGAAATAAATAATTTTTAATTTTTAATAATATATATAAATTCTTTATAAATAATATCAAATGATTTTTTTTACATAATATGTTTATTTTCACAGAACTTGTCTGACATACTAGTTGATAATCGCATTGATAATATAAAGTTTTACTAATAAGCTCAACGTTGGAAATACAGACGTTCAGTTTTTTCAATAGCAGCTGGAATTATTTATTAGTTGACATAAAAAATGGAATATAAATGTTAGTTATCTATAATGTTATTAAAAAGTTAACATTATTACTAAAACATGCCGAAAACTAGCCATCTAGTTCCCCACATTTATAAAAGCCTAATTTGACTGAATTAAGTTAGATTAATTTAATGAACCTATCTAACCGTTAGACCCACCTAGTTCCAGCTACATCATATACAGCAAGACCACTGTAGTAAGGATCTTATAGAATAATGACGGCATATGTGAATCGAAACAATACTTGAAGTTCTATTCCTAAAACGTTCTTCAGTTTTTCAAATTTTTAGATACCGAAGCATTTTAAGCAAGTTCGTGATAGTGCAGGACATAAACATAACAGATGTTCCACTACCCAACTTTTTGAGTACTGTTGAATAATATAAATGCTGATGGCGCAAAGGTTAACAAAAATATCAAATTGATTCCTTAGCTAATTTCAGAATTTCAAGTCAAACATTAAGAAAAAAAATTGTAACATAAAATACACTTCTAAAGATAAATTCTCAAACTATATAATATTTATTGTTTTTATAATTTAATAAATAAAGTAAAAAATACATATTCAAAATATGATAATATCCGTAAAAATGACTCAAAGTAAAAGTTGATTGTGATTTCAATAAAATCGAAATAATCTTTGAATAGATGAAGCCATATATCCGCAATAACTCTACGTATATTGACTTTATAGAGGAGCAATAACATGCAATCATGGAAGCTAATTGACAATACAGGTAAAAATAGTATAAATATATAAAACAATGATTCCATCCACGCGTAAAT